TACTCTAAATAATTTTTTAATAGACACAGTTTTGAAAAAATATTGCATCAAAATTAAGAAAACTACTGTTTTAATTTTTTTGGGCTAGTACCACCTTAAATTACTTAAACTGTGTAATTATTTTCTTATGTCTATATATGGACGTTACTATAGAAGTTACTATAGTAACTTCTGCATTTGCTCTAAAGATTACAATAAGAGCATTAAGTGATTATCGGAATCGGATTTTGTATATGGTCAAGTACAGGGAAACTCTGAAGAGATCCATAGTGAAAGTCTAGAGGGTTGACACCATGAGTTCACCGTACTGGGTGATACCAACCTTAGTGACGACACTGTGTGTCAAACTGTTATCTTTACATACTATGTATGTGTTAAACTGTTTACTTTTCTTATATGGTCAGAATTTATGCACCATAAATTCTGACCGTATAAGAAAACGGACGCCATCTTGGTAGGACAAAATTGGCTTTAACTTTTTTTACGAAAAACAATAGAATACGCTATCAAGTTATTATTTTGATATTAGTGATCAGGCCTGATAATATACCTCAAGCATTCTTTTATGTAGATTGCAAAACCACCGCCTCGCTTTTTGTTTTGACGCTTTAAAGAAATTTTAAAGCTTGGTAAACTGGTGTTTTTATTAGAATTTACATTATCTGTGCTGCACCAAGTTTCTGACATACAAATTAAAGTAAAAGTACTAAGAAATTTTTTCATGGTTATGCAAAAAATTTCAAAAATTTTTGACAAGCTTCTAATGTTAATATGTAAAGTGATAAAATTATTAGAGTTAAGAAGTTCTTTTATATCAATGGAATAATAATAAGGGCAGCTGCTTCGAACAGCAATTGATTTCATAAAGTAATTTAAATCCGGATCCGATTCATGGTTCAGTAAAAAGTCATCAGTTTGAAAAAAATTAAATAATTTGAAATCAAAATTGTTATTTTTATTCGAGTCCATTTTTTTTTTTTGTTATTATTATTAGACCTAATTAAATAGAAGAAATTCTTTTAGAAATCTTGCGTTATTAGTTTGTTATAAATAATTTTAGCATACTTACCTTTTTGTTTTAGCTCTTTAGCGTCTGTAAACAACTTTTTTCCGTAGCACGCTTGCTCTTTGGCAAAAATATTCGTCATAATAATGTGTTATTTCCAGAGTTTCAATTTAATATATTTATCAAGAATAGCTCTTTTGTCTTTAAAATTTAAAAATTTCACAACGACGGTTCTGTTTTTATTTTTAGTTTCATCTTTGTCTATTTTTCCCACTTGATGCGCCCGTTCAATAACAAAATTGCCATCTAATTCGAGTTTTGTTTTTATAATTTGTTAACCTTCCCGACGGGCATTTGTTTTTAAAAGTTACGATCTAAATGTATTTTAAATGTCTTTTAAACGTCTTTTAAACATTAATGTTTAAAAGACGTTTAAAAGACGTTTAAAACACATTTAGAACGTAACTTTTAAAAACAAATGCCCGTCGGGTTTTTTTTTACAATCTTTCCAACGATCGTTTTCAGACTCTTCAATTCCGTTTATTATTAAGTTATTACTCTTACTTCTATCTTTGAATTCTGCCAATTTTTCTTTAATGGTTACTGTTACAATGTTTTCTAAGTTGCTCGGAATTTTGTGTTCAGGCTTTGATTTAAGTTTAAATTACTTTATCGTATTTATTGCTTATAAAATCTACACTTTTTTTAATTCACTAATTTCTAGTTTAAGAGCCTTATTTTCATCGTTTAATGAATTCACTTAGTTCTCCAAATTTTCTATTTTTTCATTAAAAACTTAATTATTGTACTGTCGTGCATTTTTTGTCATTTTAAACTTCCTAGCAATTAAAACCCGCCCGTTCACGGTGAATATTAAGAATGAGCTTTTGTAGCTAGCTGCAATGCTACGATATGTAGTTAACAATATAATATATCGTTAATTACATATCGTAGCATTGTAGCTAGCTACAATGTTGCAATATTATTGGAATAATTTTGATAGCTACAAAGCTGCAATAACTAAATATCCACATGTAGTAATCGAACTGTTACATGTTCAAATTATTATCATAAATTGGACATTGGATCCATGAGTATAAAGGAACTTTTTAAAACGTAAAAGATAAAATGAAAACATAATGTGGGATAAAAAAATCGTTTTAAAAATCGCTATAAAGCTAGCTAGTCGCTCGCTATTTCACACTTGGCTTCTTGGTTGGTATAAAATGCCTTGGGGAGAGTGGGGTATTGGCGAATACATAAGCGGAATTACGAATTAAAAACATCACTTATACAAATTTGATCATATTTATTGCTTATCAATTAGTTTAACTATTTAGTCACAAACCCTCAAAAGCAACTTTTATAAACCTTATTATAAAATAATAACTAATGGCAAAAATAAAACATATTTGAATTACCCTACGTACGTGGGATATTTCCGAACACATCGGGGGGGGGGGGGAGGGCAATCACAAACACTGTTGTTTAATAACGAATAAAATGCTAATTGTAATAACTAAAGTGCAAAAATTGTACTATGTAACAAGAACAAAAAGAGAAGTGGTTTTATATCCATAGAAGCTACAACAGTATGTTGTTCAAGAAAAAAGTTGCATAAAATTATCAGAAATAGTTAAAACCAAATTATAGTTAAGAACATCTGCAGCTTCATTACACTACTGAAAGTCTAAAACTGAGCATGGAATTCCCTTTCAGCAGGTAAAAAGAAATTGTCAAACTTATTTTTCTATAATGCTGTTTTGACCATGTTATGGAGTTATCCCGCGTTTGCAATCCCACTTTCCTCTATACTTATGAAAAATTTACTGCAACTTTTTTTTTTCTACATATAATTTTTTCAAAATACACACCTAAAATTTTGTCGCCAAAACCCTTGTCACCAAAATTCTTAGGTATATCAACGAATTTTTAGGTATACAAATTTTAGGTATATAAAAAGGTATATAAATTTTAGGTGTATTATCAAAAAAGTATATCGTTTGGAATAGTGTAAATACGTGAATCTACTAGTAGATTCACGACAGCAGGTATTGTTAATTATAGATTGTTTAATTTAAACTGTGAAAAAATTATAAATTTTTTATTCCTTTCTATACGCCTTTTATATACAGTGACAGATCCAGCATTTTTTAGTGTTTGAGATAACAAACTTCCAGACATGGAGCAAACTCCAAACTTCTGTATATTTGGAGTTTGTATACTTATGTCAAATAACGATGCTTTGCGAAAAATTGCGATGATTGGAGGCTGGGAACAAAAAGCTCCTAAAGTTTTGTCCCTTAAACGTGAGGGGGAAATATATAAATAAAATATTATTTTACTATCTTTAACTAGACTTATATTCATCAATAAATTTTAGGCTTGAAAGTATTATCTCTCAGCGTTCAAAAAATATGATTGTATAAAGTTTAAGCCTTTCTTAATTTGAGGGAATTACAAATTTTATATGGTCATAATTTCTGAACGGTAAGAGATAATACTATAGAACTTAAAACTTGTCAAAGAATATAAGTCCAGTTGAGAAAAGAACAATAAAATTTTGTATGAACTTGTTGCCCTCACGTTTGGGGTTGAAGTGGGATGATATTTTAGGGCCATGTTGTTCCCAGTCTCCAATCATCGCGATTTTTTGCAAAGCATCTTTATTTGACATAGGTATAAACATACAAATGTTTAAAGTTTGCTCCATTTCAAACACCAAAAAATGCTGGATCCCTCACTTTTCACCTAAATATTTTTTTTTCTATAAAAAGATCAAACTTAGATACTTTTGTATTTGTTTTATATACGTTTTGATAAAAATTGACATCTACGACATTTTAAGTTAATAAAAGTACATAGTTTTCTATAGAATTCCATATTATTAAAATTAGTCATTTAAACCTGGTAGAAGAGTGCTATTTTGAAAAACTTTTAAAACACTCGTATAACAATCAAATATTTCATGACGAATAACAATTAAATGTTTCATGACGTATAACAATCAACTATAAGAACAATTTTATGTCAATGTGTTATTTCTTTAAATCTGTACTTCTAACAAGACGATGATAATACACGTTTCAAAAGTTTAATAGTGTTGTTGAATAACTTATAATTTAGATAACCGTATTTATATTTTTTTCACATAGGTTTTATAAAGTTTTTATTTGTTAAAAAAATTGCAGCTTTTATTAGCAATAAAATAAACGGAATTTAGCGCCTCAGCCTCACCAAAAGGAATGATGGATGATTTTGCATCACATAATTTTATTTGTGCTCTTGCGTATTAATAAACTTAAATAAATAAACTTAAATAAATAAAATTTGTATTTGTAAATAAATATAATACTTATACTTTGATTTAAAATATTAATTCTTTACATACAAATTTATAGTTTTATAATTTCTGTTTATTTCAATAAATATCTAACCACACTCGATGGAATAAATTTTTAAAGAATGATAAGTTAAAGAAATAGATTTTAAGTTATAAAAAACTGTGCCTCAAAAAAAAAAGCTTTTATATTTCTTATTATAAAAAGTACTAAAGAGGTTTGTTTCTATGGAAATACTAACTGTCAGCAGTAGAAACTGAATTCTTAACATAGTTTCGTTAAGCGCTAATTTTTATATACTAAATGCATAATAGCTTTTTGATTCAACTGATAAATGTTTCGATAATTTAATACAAAAACGTTTAAAGTATAAACAAAATTAAAACTTAATAATAAATTTATATTGCAACAGTATTTAATGTTTTCAAATGAAATGGCTGATTTAAAACTCCGATAGAAATTAGTTAATAAGTTTATGGTTTCTGAATCCGTCTAAAATTTATATATATAGATATTACAAAAATTTTAGATGACAAGTTTGTTGTTTAAAATCAATGAAAGTTAATTTAAAAGCATGCTATACTCATTTTACTCATATATGTGTACGATATATCTATATATTTTTATCAAATTTTTTTTTTTGAATTTTAGTTTAAAATAAATATTTCTAAAGAATCTATAATTAATCTCAATACAAAGGTATTGCAACATGGGGAATTCTCAGACAAATTTTTTATCAAGCATTGATCTGGTTCAGACTGCTCAGGCCGAATATGATTTTCTTCACCATGTTGACAAATACCCAGCTTTGTACTTTGAAAATGTTTTAAGAAATGCAGTTTACCGCTATGAAAACTACTGGCTACCACTTGTTGCCAAATATGATTTAGTTGTTGTTGCTCCATTAGATATTGAATGGGTTTGGCATGCACATGTATTGAATCCTAATGCATATAATCGAGATTGCAGAAAAATTGTTAGAAAAGTTATTGATCATGTTCCAATGTTTCTTGCATTACATACACAAAATGTTTCTCAGAAATATTGGTGTAATGAATATCCAAATATACCATATGAAATTGATCTTTTTAACTCAAAACCAGTACTTTTGTCGTCAAAACCTTTTAAATGTTCGTACAATATAGTAGCAGCTGCTCAGCGTCAAAGAGTCTTTAGCTATAATGTATTACTTCCACACTTCAGAGATGCTAAATTTTTAAGCAAAGCAGTAAAACGATATAAAACCATGATTGCTATAAAAAAAGTAAACCCAGAAACATATTTAGTACCATGTTATGACTTTGGTTTAATTTGGCATAGCCATCAACAGCACGTGTTTCTTTATCAATCCGAAATGACGTTTATTTATGGATCTATTTCATTCCATGATGACTCGAGTTTAGATTTTCAATTATGCAAGGATGAAAAAGAGAAAACAATTTACTTATGGAAAAAACAATCACTCAAACAATACGAAGTAAATGGAGGAATGTTTCGTGGCGAACCATTTTTACCAAACTTAGATCATGATAGTGGCTTTTTTTCTCGCTCTATTACAAACGTAAGTTATTATTTTTCTAAATATGTCTCTTGGGGATAATTAGAATCCTATCCGATTGAAGAAATGCATATTTCAATAAAAATTCAGCTAAAAAAAATTTACTATAGCTAACAGGCATAAGTTAGGAGTCAAATTTTTAATATTCAGTTTAAGCGTTTCTTCTGCGTTGATTCAGAATTTATTGAACTTGATTTTATCACCCAAGTTTATAAATTAGAAAATAAATTATTAATTTCTAGCAAATTTTTATTAAATTTTGTTTTATTAATTTCTTGTTAAGTTTGCTAAGTTTTCACCATTTCTGAAAAATTAAAGAGCAAAATTTTCATCATTTGTAAAATAACTTTGTTGTTTGGGCACATAAACTCAGACAAAATATTTTCATATACTTCTAATATTTTTTAACATTCAAAGTAAGCTTTCAAATATTCTAGTTCAAGTATAAAGAGGTAGTAATCTAAATAAAAGAATCATTCTTTTTTATTTTTTAATAACATATTTATGCTTTTTTTGGTAGGTTTAACCCAACGAAAGCCAAAGTTGTACAAACAAACATGATAATACCACATTGCAAACCTTTCAATCTTTCATACTAGTATTATCATTGTGTCGTTTTCTCCAAGAGATACTTTGGTCGGCGTAAGCATTTCAACTTGCTGTCTTGTATGATTGACTCTTTAAGTTATTAAAACTGTTGATTTTCTTTCAAAAACTAGTTTTGATGTGCCAACTTTTACTTTATAACTAATACTTTAGCGTTTGAACATGTCGACGTGAATGATTTACTCCTTTAGTTATTGAATTTTTTATTCCAAAAACTAGTTGGTTTGACAAAAATTCTTTACTGTTAATGTGGCTATGCGAAAACAAAAACTCTTAATAAATCCTAAATATTAATTGGTTAAATATGTAACTTTTGCATATACTCCTTCTGCTCAAGTATTTCATTTATATTGATTATTGGAGAGCTTCTATAGCTATTTCTTTAAACAATTTTTAAAAATAAAAGCTGACTCTTTTTTTCAAAAGCTTTATACTTTCGTTTTTACAGTTCTTCGTACTCTTTAGCTTTAGGACAACTAGCACTTAAAAATTTTGTTGACTGGCCAGACCAGATTTTTGTGGCATGTGGTATTTTGTTGGAAAGTGCCAGGTACACTTTAAGAAAGAGGAACAATAAAAGCAATGATTTTACTATTCCAAATAAAATAGGTTCCTAGGAAGTGCTGTCGTTGTTTTACTATTTTTGTTCAAATTTTCATAAGAGCTTTTAATTTCATTTTTAAACACACCAAAGTAGCTTCAGACTATCCAAACCTATTTTGCTAATAACCTAATTTATGACTGCATCAAATTTAGCATTTGTTAGGGTTTGTAACCATTTATAAAAAATAACCATCAAGAACATCAAAGAAGCTATTTTGTAAAAACAGAAATTAAAAAATTTAACTAGTGAGCAATTTCTCTTTTTTTATTTAATTTTTTTTTTCACTTATAGGTCACACATCAAAAAAATAGGTTTTATGCTTTAGGTCAGAGTTCCCCAAATATTTTTATGGAACTTTCATTAGTGACTCTTCAGGATACTGGATCAAGAAGCTTAAAAATCAAAAGGTAGCCGTTTTTGAAAAAAGTGATTTAAAAAAAAAATCAAAAAAATTTTTAAATGCAAGGCTAGTTGTAAACAAACTTTTTAATTGTTTGAGATACTCTAAACATTGATATGTTCATGTCTATGTCAAATAAGGATACTTTGCGAAAATATGTGATGATTTTTTTTTTATGTTCTATTAATTTATTCAAAATAACTATTACAATCAAATAAAAGAAATAAGAAATGCATCCAAATAAAAATTACAACTTTTGTTAAATATAAAAAAAGAAGAACGCGGAGACTTGCAGAAGATCTTATGATCTTGTCATCAAGAACCGTTTACAACTGACAATCATTTCGTATTTAAAAACAATTTTGTAATGTATATAAAATAAATAAACGAAGTCTAATAAAGTTTTTAAAATAAAAGTTAGAAGTAAAAATTAACGTTTTGCATGAATATATAAAATGCAAAATGAATAATATAAAATGTATAAATCAACATGTTACACAAGCCAGTCAAAACAAAGTTAACAAAACTAAATTTAAATATACAAGTGATCTAAATTTAAGTATGTTTTCAGTAGAGAGTATGTTTTCAAGTACAAGTATGTTTTCAGTAGAGAGAATAATATTTTTTAATTTTCTTTTAAATGCAAAGAAGCTCTTGAATCTTGAGAAAAGTCTTGAGAAAAATCAAAATGTTTCAAAACTATATTGTTCCACAGAAACGCCCCTCGAAAAGAAATATAAGAATTGCCTAAATTTGTTTTAAAAACAGGCTGTATAATGAAATTATCATTTCGTGAATTATACTTATTTTTTTCTTTCGTGAATTATACTTATTTTATATACATTACAAAATTGTTTTTAAATACGAAATGATTGTCAGTTGTAAAAGAAACCGGAGCTGTACGATTTTTACATTTAAACATAAAACACAGTACATTAAATACATTTAGTTGAAATATATTTAAAATATTCATTTCAATAAAGAGGGCTTAGTAGCGCAAAACGGTCTTTAAAATTAATAAGACGTGCAGCATGTTTCTGTTGGCGATAAAGAGGTTCTAATTTACTTTTATTAACACTACCCCAAGCCGCATTCGCATTGTTTACGTGGCAATGAATGAATGAGTAGTATAGTTGAATTAAAATATGTTTATTTAGCATACTTCTTGCTTTATACAATATACCTATACACCTATACTTTTCGAAATTTTGCCGTAAAAAAACCTAAACGTTAGCCCCTCTTGGAGTGTATAATATGTCTGGAAGTTAGTTATCCCAAAGACTAAAAAAGTTGTCTTCGGCCTTGAAATGGAATGGAATTTTTTTTTAAGGCGAGAAAATATGTCAAATTCTTTTTAAAAGACGTTTTAATACAAACTCATATTAACTATTTATGTTACAAAATGCAAATGTTAGAAAAAACTAAGATTTTTTTATAATATTAGCTAACAATTCAAAAAAATATTTGCATCCAATGTTATAAATTTATAAACATATATCTCAATTTTCTAATCTATAAATAAGTACTGCTGAACGATTCAGCCATTCTTCTGTTTATAAGAGAGTGCTTTAAACCTGCTTGTGAAACGTTGAATCGTTCGATTATTGGCTTCATTTTTGAATGAGCCGATTCAGGTGCCTGTTTATTGTATTGTCCAAGAGAATGACCAGTAAGTTTATTAAACTGTTGCAAGTGAGCTGAGATTATATGTATTTTCCAGGTCACTGTAAGTTTCTTTCCTAGAAACTAATAAAATATTCTATAAGATAGATAATAATAATATTATAATAATACAAAGTCAATTTAAAGCAAGTTCATAATAATTAATTGTACCTCTGAACAGTACCCTTTTGTGGCTTTGTAGGAACAACCAAAGTCAGCTACTAGTTGAAGATAAACAGGGTTAAGATAACTTCTGAAGGTTCCTTGAACTAATTTCTCAAATTTTCTCATTGGACATAGAAGTGGTAAAAGCTCAATTGGTAGCCTTAGTGAAGGCTGATCACAGTTTTTAGGAATAAGCCTATATGTATTCCTTTTATATTTTCCCTTTTGGTATCCTATTCTAATAGATCCAAGTGAGTTAACCCAACCTTTGTATTCCGGCCACTAAACAATTATATAAGTTGATATATGATTTACAAATCCCATTAACATAAGAAAAGGAATGACTTCAAGATTTAGTTTCGACTTGTTTTTCTCTTTTATTAGGCATACATTCACCAAATTCTATCAAAGTTTATTAATTTGAATAACAATTTTAAAAAAATAATTTTTTTTAATTTAAAATTTTTTTTTTTAAATTAAATAGTAATTAACATTCACACCGTATTATCTTTTATTTCAGAACTTTGATAACCGGCTTTTATGTATCTGTGATGCCATAGATTTAATGATAAAAATGTTCTTGCCAACCCACCAAAAAGCATACTTACCGCCATGAGACTAAATTTTTTTATGCTTTTTTAAAATCCTAATTAACTAATTAAAAGTTACATAATAAATTATTTTCAAATCAGCTGCAAAAACATATTTAAAATCTTCTACAGCTTCTGTAGCTTTAGAAGATCTAATAAAATGGAAAAATTTTTGTGTGTCTCCTGCAAGTTGTCACAATATGCAAGAACTATGGAATGGTTAATTCCAGAGTATGTTCTGTGAGAACTTTGATCTTCGCATCGTTCTTTTTTTGGATCAAAGAGGTTACAAACTACCTTAAGTGACCCACCTTCTACAAAATATTAGTTATAATTTAAAAAATATATATTATTAAGTTCTATATTATATATAAGTTATATATTATCTCTTCATCTAATAATGTTTTTACCTGAACCAATTCTGATTTGTATTAATGTTTGGTAAGGGTTTTGCTTTCTGTAAGTCTTTAAAAGGTTAAGCAGCTTGGATAATTGACATAAAAAAGGTCTCTTGACACATCTGTTGACAACTTTTTTTTTTTTCTTTTGCAATAACTGTCATTACATCATAAAATTCAGATAGGAGTTTATTTTTTTTATAAATTTTTTTTTCTTCAAATTGAATTCCACTTTTTCTTAAGAATTTTAGATAGATGTGTGATTTGAATTGACTTTTGAAAAGTCCAAGTCGAATAATCATAGTTTCTTAAAACTTGACTTTTCTAATAACTAATGGAGGAACACCAATATTTATAGGTAATGGTTCAGAACCAATGAATAATAAAATACTTTTGATGATTTAATGATTTCAAAAACATCAAAAAAATTTTATAAACAACTTACCAGTATTTAGATGTGTCTGTGTTCCATGCTTAAGTTTCTTTTTCTTAATAATCAATCTTAAAGTATTAGAAGTGACTTTTCTCTTAACTTTTTCCGAGGCATTAAATAACTTAGCAGAAAGATTTGTATACAC